AGTTAAAATAAGGTGACCTTAGCCTGGGTTCCAGGCCATGAGGGATATCAGGGCAACGAAAAGGCCGACGAATTAGCCCGAGGAGGCTCAGATAAGGCCATGACAGGCCCCGGACCCTTCTGTGGAGTTGCTAAGGCATTGTGCAAGGCATCCATTAAACAATGGATGCAAACAGAGTCTCAGGAATGGTGGAACAACTATCCAAGACTGAGACAGGCCAAACAGTTCATCAAGGAACCATCGGCCAAGTTCACGAAAGACCTACTGGATCAAAACAGCGTCAAATCGTTAGGATAACAGTAGGCCTTCTTACTGGACACTGTCGCCTCAAAAGGCACATGAGTGTCATAAATTCAGCAGAAGAAGCAACTTTGTGCAGGTTCTGTGAAGAAGAAGAAAAGGAAACAATATTCCACGTCCTGTGCCAATGTGAATGCCTGGCTAGAACGAGGTTTCTAACATTGGGCGAAGAAAAGCCAATTGCATGCAACTACATGCGGAAGCCACTGTCAAAGCTACTAAGACTAATAAAAAAGACCAGGCTAGACGACATACTTTAAAACAAACAGGAGTCCCACAATAGATCTGAAAAGATCGCGGTGGACAAGGACAAATAACGTCCAACTCATGATCTAATCTAATCTACCTACATGAAAAAATCATCATAATTATATTACTAAAAAAATATACCTACATATTAACGTATTTTTTTAACGTACTACTCTGACAATACTGGTAAGTTTAAAACTCTACGCTACTGGCGAGCATATTATGTACAGTTCATCAAATTTCTAGAGGTGTTCGACGCCCAGACAGAGAACGCGCTACGTGTGACTAAGATAGCTATTGTACAGTCTGCTAAACAAGTTATTTTAAATAGTTTTTAATATTTTTAGGTAATTAAATTTTAAAAGTGTGGAATAGTTTAGGAATTAAATTGGTCTGATTGGACTTTCTTAGAACGTTTTTAAAAGCAGCTAAAGATAGTATGTAGAATTGAAAATAATTATTATGCCATAAAAGGTGTTTTGGAATTCCTTCAACCTTTTGAAATTGAGTCAGAAAATATAAATTTTATAGGATAGCGGAAAATACCTATAATTTTTTTGTAGGCCTTTGTAAATCGTGGAAATAGTTTATATTTTATTTCTACCTTATTAAGGAAAATGGTACCTATTATTAATAACGGTTGTTTCTGAAACATTACTAAAATTTTCGAAATTTTGTTTTTCTACAAAATAATAAACTATACTATTTAGAAAAAAATTTATTTCTCTTATAATTTTATTAAAAATAACAGGGGAATATTTACATTTCTTGATCTATTAAACAAAACGATAAATTATCTCGACGAATGACACCATGTTCTAGTACGGAAGCTAGCTTTACATTTTTGTTGGTGGTTTCATGGGTTTCATATCAATTTTTTGTAATTGTAGTTTACACGTACATATACCTCTTAACACTTGTTTGCTTTATTAAAAAAGTGTGTTGTTGTGATTTACGTCGAAATAAGTCAAAAACAACTTGAAACCCCATATAAAATCAAAAAGGAGAAACGGAAAAAAATTGAGCCTGTAAATGAACACAACTCAGAAACAAAAATAGCTATCTAATAATAAAAAAATAAAATTTGATTCTTGTGCAGCTTCATCTATATCATTAACTGTTTTTGGTTTTTTAATGGTTTTTCTTGGTGATGAAAATTCCGATATCTCACGGTTATCGATTCTTTTTTTCTCTCCAGAAATGCGGACGACAGTGTTTTTAGATACTCCTGTGGCTGCAGCAACACGATCATTTACATTTTTAAATGGTATTGAAGGTGAATTAAAGTTTCCTTCTCTTCTCATAAACTCTATAACATTGGCTATTATTTCGCGAGATTGACTGTTAATCACGCGGCCTCTTAATTTGCTATTAAACTCCATGCTTAGGTTCTATTAAACTGTAATGAGCAAAAAACACAAACGAAAATAAAAGAAATGTTTTAGCGAAATGTACATCTGACATTTACGTCTGAATGAAATAGTGAAATACTTGATGCGCAGAGTGTACTTTCATTGCGTAAATCCGTCGGGATGCCTGTCAGTAGTGCTTTCTCTGTCTAGCCGTCGAAAGCCTCTAGAAATTTGATGAACTGTACACTGTTTACAACGTTGCCAGCCGGTCATAAGTTATCTGTCTTTCTCTCTTCCACTCACTAACAATTTTAAAACAATAACAGTCCGCAATTGTATGGGATTTATGAATGAAACATTTTGTCTATATGTTGTAATGTCTTTGGACTGGTCTCAATAGGGCACAATTCAAAACTCTTGCCGAACATAACGATGACATAAAATCTATGAAAAACCTAAGCAAGAAAAACTGTATTGCACTTTTTCTTATCAAATTAATGGTCGATCTCAGTCAGAAAGTTTTAGGGATGATGTTCGGCATGAAACCAAAACAGCAACCTCGAGTTATGAGATTTTCAAGTTGTTTTAGTTTCAATAACCAATAATTTTGTACCGCGCCATTTTGGTTATCGGCATATACCTCGGAGAGGATTACGCTCAACAAGAAAAACAAATACGATTCTGGTTCCCCTAATTTAAGTAACTCTGACTCACTCAAGAACTGATGAACGTCGGCAGCCGTGGTAGGATTTTTCTGTTTCTTTGTCTCGACTTTGCGCGTTAGAGTTTAGAATATGTATCCCTCGTATCTACATGCAATTGTTAAAATTATGAATGAATGCGGATTTTGTTTAGTCTCGGAAGTAATTTTGTAGTATTTAGGCTCCACCCAAGTTGTAATTTTTATACCTACAAAACTACCGTTGCTCCGCAGGTCTTTCAGTTTGTACAGTTCATCAAATTTCTAGAGGCTTTCGACGGCTAGACAGAGAAAGCACTACTGACAGGCATCCCGACGGATTTACGCAATGAAAGTACACTCTGCGCATCAAGTATTTCACTATTTCATTCAGACGTAAATGTCAGATGTAAATTTCGCTAAAACATTTCTTTTATTTTCGTTTGTGTTTTTTGCTCATTACAGTTTAATAGAACCTAAGTATGGAGTTTAATAGCAAATTAAGAGGCCGCGTGATTAACAGTCAATCTCGCGAAATAATAGCCAATGTTATAGAGTTTATGAGAAGAGAAGGAAACTTTAATTCACCTTCAATACCATTTAAAAATGTAAATGATCGTGTTGCTGCAGCCACAGGAGTATCTAAAAACACTGTCGTCCGCATTTCTGGAAAGAAAAAAAGAATCGATAACCGTGAGATATCGGAATTTTCATCACCAAGAAAAACCATTAAAAAACCAAAAACAGTTAATGATATAAATGAAGCTGCACAAGAATCAAATTTTATTTTTTTATTATTAGATATCTATTTTTGTTTCTGAGTTGTGTTCATTTACAGGCTCAATTTTTTTCCGTTTCTCCTTTTTGATTTTATATGGGGTTTCAAGTTGTTTTTGACTTATTTCGACGTAAATTACAACAACACACTTTTTTAATAAAGCAAACAAGTGTTAAGAGGTATATGTACGTGTAAACTACAATTACAAAAAATTGATATGAAACCCATGAAACCACCAACAAAAATGTAAAGCTAGCTTCCGTACTAGAACATGGTATCATTCGTCGAGATAATTTATCGTTTTGTTTAATAGATCAAGAAATGTAAATATTCCCCTGTTATTTTTTATAAAATTATAAGAGAAATAAATTTTGTTCTAAATAGTATAGTTTATTATTTTGTAGAAAAACAAAATTTCGAAAATTTTAGTAATGTTTCAGAAACAACCGTTATTAATAATAGGTACCATTTTCCTTAATAAGGTAGAAAAAAAATATATAAACTATTTCCACGATTTACAAAGGCCTACAAAAAAATTATAGGTATTTTCCGCTATCCTATAAAATTTATATTTTCTGACTCAATTTCAAAAGGTTGAAGGAATTCCAAAACACCTTTTATGGCATAATAATTATTTTCAATTCTACATACTATCTTTAGCTGCTTTTAAAAACGTTCTAAGAAAGTCCAATCAGACCAATTTAATCCCTAAACTATTCCACACTTTTAAAATTTAATTACCTAAAAATATTAAAAACTATTTAAAATAACTTGTTTAGCAGACTGTACAATAGCTATCTTAGTCACACGTAGCGCGTTCTCTGTCTGGGCGTCGAACACCTCTAGAAATTTGATGAACTGTAATGTAAATTTTCATCTCAAAAGCTGTTGAGTTCAGTCAGAATTTCATGTAAAAAAACAACTCCCAGTCCTATAGATAGAACTGAAGTACATATCGCGTCTTCATCCAATTAAATAAAATCATAAAGTAAATTAATGATTGATTCAATATCGAAATAAAAAATAATTAGTAAGTGCTTCGTCTTTAAAGATACTTGCTTTTATAAATCGTGTTTGTAGATTTCCTTCTAACAACTAACGAATAATGAGGTATCGAAATTATAAAAATAAAATATATTCCTACTTTTTAGTATTTGATTTTCCGTTAATTGAAATTCTGCAGCAAAACCTATAATTCTAATTAAGTTGATTTATTTTATCTTTCGTTTTAACTGCTAGGTAGCAATATTTTTATCAAATGCAGTCAGGTACAATACCATTTCCTCCTTAATTTTCTTTTTTGCAGAGATTAGGTACTTTTTTTAGGATAGTTATTTCTTGTTGTTTACTGAACAGAAGATGCTGTTTGCTGTGTTGTTCTATTTCTTCATCTAGTTTGTTCTAAGCAGAACTAAAAGATTAATTTTCTTTTCAAGATCCAGACTGAAGCTTTGCCAGTCTGTTCTCCTGTTTATTATTTTGGATAATGGTATCGCTAAGAGTAATAAGAATGGTAGAATGATGTAAATTTATCAAAAAGACTCACCTTGAGCCCAAGTATATTATTTCTGTCTGTTGGGTTGCCAGTTAACGTCACGAATGAAAGGTTAGTCTGACAAAACGCGCGTTTGCAATAAAATTCGACGAGTTTATGGATTTTTTCGGAAATAATCAATATTATATTCCTTTGAATAATGACTGGTTTTTGTATATTTTTACGGTTTTTATTATAAAATGTACAGTTTTTGTTTTGATAATTGATATTTTTCTTATGTCATTTGAGAAAATGAAGGTCTTCTTGACCTTTAATTGTTGTCTTGATGTCTACTTTCGTTTCAATTATATTAACTATTTTTTTTTTGTTTCAGAAGGTAAACAATCAATCATATTACTGAGTAAGTATTTCTTATGAGTATTTTAAAGTAATAACAAAATTTTTGAAAAATTTATTGTATTTTCAATGATATATTAGCCTACTTTTTCAGTTGATTTTCTAAACATAAATTATCTTACAGCTTAGTTGATACTTTAAACCAGTGGTCGCCAACCTCTCAATGTGTTGAGCTACTTTGTTAATTTTGGAATAAACAGCGAGCTACCCTCACGGAAGCCACGTAATGCAACGTAAATGAAATAATCCACAGTTAATTTATCATTATATGTATTTATTTTACTATTTAACTGGTAATACATAACACATAGGTACTAATAATAAACTAATAACAAAATAACTAATATTACTAGTACGTACTTGTTCATAGCTACATTCCTACCTACCAAACGAAGGTATTTGAAAAATAAACACAAACTTTTATCCAGCCACAACGGCATGTCACGTAAGATTTAAAAATAGTTAATAATAACAACAAAAAAGTAACGCAGTATCATGAACATAAACATTGAAAAATAAAAAAGCACGTTCAATGAGAAGGCTGACACTCAGACTCATCGATAATTTTTTTAATGTTTGCAGTATAATTTGATACAGCCATTCGAATAAAATTATCCAAATGTTTATCTGTAAGTCGATTGCGATATTTGTTCTTAATAAACTTCATATTGGAAAAACAAGATTCACACAAATAGGTTGAACTGAATAACGCTTTCACTTTCAAGGCAACACGGCATAGAACTGAATATTTGTCTTTACTTACAATAGGCCAGATACATTTGGTACTTGAGACTAACGATTTTAAGGCTAAATCATTTTGAAACTCAATTACTTCCATTTCTGTTGCAGCGATGTCTTCGCCAAAGTTCTGCATAACACAAGTTTCAAACTGTTGGATATCAATTTCCATAAAGGGTGAAACAACAAACTGCGCTACTAAAGCCATTTCGTTGAAATCCTTAAAAGATTTTTGAAGTTATTCTTCAGGGTAGAAACTATTTCTACATGATATTTGCTGTCATAGGGTTCTAATGGATTTTGAGATATTTTTTCTGAAAGAATAGGAAAATACTTGGCATCGCTGTTAATTAGGTTTTGTTCCCAAAACTCCAGCTTTTTGATAAATGCTTTTATATCAGAAATCATTTCCGCTAGTTCTTTGTCTTTCCCCTGAAGCTGCAAATTAAGTTCGTTTAATTTCTCTGTAATGTCCACGAGAAAACCAAAATCTCTAAGCCAGATTGAATTTTCTAGTTCCGGAGTCGGTTCATCGCGTTGTTTGAAAAATTGAACTATGCCAGATAGGACACCATTAAAACGTTTCAGCACCCGTCCTCTACTTAACCATCGGACTTCAGAGTGAAGGAGTAGGTCCCCGTATTGACAGTCAACTTCATCGGCCAAGATTTTGAATAATCTTCTTTGTAACGCTTAAGCTCTAATCTTGTTCATAATTTTTACCACCAGTTTCATAACGTTGTTTAGTTTCAGGAAATTTCCACATAATGCTTGCTGATGGATAATGCAGTGGTAACAGAGAAATTGCGGAAAAGTTTCATCTTTACGACATAACGCCACCAGACCCTTATTACAACCCACCATAGCTGGAGCGCCATCGGTTGTCATCGGTTTTCGATATTGGAATTTTCTCGGAAGAAGTAATATTTTTTAAATGAGAAAACAACTCCTGTCCAGTAGTGTGTCCTTTCAGTGGAATAAACTTCAAAAGATCTTTAATCGTAAAATCACTAAACGACATCTGTTGATTCGTCCAGTTAAAGTGAAAAATAAACACGGTTATCTAAGTCAGTTCTTAACTGTAAAAAAAATATCATTGCTCATTACGTCTACACGTCTCATCACTGTATTAGCAGAAAGTTGCATAAATTTTATAGCTGAAACTATCTCGTCTTTATTTCTAAAGTTGGCAAATAACGAATCAGCAGCTTCTAAAAACGCCTGTTTTATCATTTCCCCGTCTTTATAAGGTTTCTTTTTTGTGCAATTATCTGGGACACACGGTACGATGCTTCAGTTGCAGCCCTATTTTTGTCGACTGTTCTTAAAAATATTATTGTTGTCCAATTAACTGCTTTTTTAACTGTTTCAGTTTCTCCTTTCTGGCGGAAGAATGTAGTGGGAATGATTTTTCATTATTAGAATGTACAGTTTTATGATTTCTCTCAATATTTCCTTTTTTAGCAATGGAGACCGAAGTATTACATAACAAACACACATTTTTATCTTTAACTTCTATAAAAAAGTATTGTTCTTCCCATTTCGAATGAAAGTGGTATGTCTTTACCTTCTTACAACTGCTTGCCATAATATTATTTTTTGTTGTTCTCTACTAACCTAACCGCTGGACGTTGGTTATGCGTTCAGTTTTAAACTAAGCGCAATGTCGCCGCGCCGTGAGTATGTATCCCGTTCAAAGCAATCCTGATCGTTCTCGAACACTAACGCGCTGGTCCGGCTGGTCGGTTCTAGCTTGATGGCATCAGCGGCAGATCGCTCACCGCAACGTTGCCGTTGTTTATGTTTAATATTATGACAATTAGATTTTTTTGTGGAATTTTCGGAAGCTTCTCTGATTTTTGCAGTTTGTATTTTTTAAATTAAAATCGTTGCGAGAGCTACCAAAATTGCCTCCGCGAGCTACCGGTAGCTCGCGATCGACAGGTTGGCGACCACTGGTATAGGGTTTTGAATCCCACTTTCACTGCCCCCGAGGGCTTACTCATATGGTTTGGTCGCACTAACTATGCACTATTACTATACCTGACGACCGAACGTAAAATAATAATGAAAAGAAAGTTTTGGCACAGCTTATACAATACAGCTTCACAACTCCGTGTCGGCGTCTTTGATCTGGCGGTCGAGAACCAAGCAAGACGGAATGGTGCTATCTCTGTTAGATTCGAGGGAAAAGTCGGGCCCGGATTAAACAATTTTTTTATTATTGAAAAAATTGAAAACCTTGGCGTAATAAGGTTGGTTACATGCCATATTAAGTAAGTTTTGGGAAATTAAATTTTTAATTTGTTTTAAATCTGTCAAATATAATTAGAAACATTATTTAAATATAAATATTACGAAAAATAGCACATCTTTCGGATTAGAGGTAAAATAATTTGTATGTGGCTAGTAAAATCCTCGTTAACAAATGGTTTGAGCTAAAACAGTCACTTCACGACAAATTGTGGCTTGGATCCTTTTTACACCAAGGGCTTCAATTGTTAAAGAATTGTGTCACGCTCGTGGATGCAAATCAAGTGGTACCCCGTGTCTCTGGCAAGTGTTACTCTTCGCGCAAAGGGTTTATACCTAGATAAACGAATGCTTCGACTGAGGTCTGGGAACTCTATGGTATTTTGGAATTATAAAGAATTTGTGCTTTTATTTTAACAATATTGGTTATATTTAGATGTATTCTTATTAATTGAAATACAGATTTGTAGAAGTAATACTTTGACAGTTTTTATTAATATAATATATTCAATTTTTATCTGACCATACCGAAGTAGGGAATTTTGAAACTTTATAGTAATGTAAAATTTGAATTACAATATTACACGATATTACATAATTAGTACTTATTTTAGGTAGGTACTAAATTTGTACTTGGAGAAAGTAATATCGATTTTTATAAGAAAACTTAAAAAGTAAATTAATTTAGTTCCTATTTCTGATGTAAAACTTAAGTTTTGGTTTAAACCAAGAAAACAAATAAATTATAGTTTGTTCAACAAGGGTGGATATGATAGCAATATCACACAAAGACGAAGTTTGAGCACGACGTCGTATGCGGAGTACTCAATCGTCTGATTGTGATATGAACAATCCACTCGATATGGTCAGTATATTTTTTCTACGACCCACTAACGAAAATCTACAAATTTAAAAAATTATTTTAGGTTATTTAGACAAAATAACTAATTTTAAAATAATTTACGAAGTTGACTAATTTATAAAATAAAATTAACATGAAAAATTAATTAGTCCTCGGCCTAGATTCGATCCCGGGCTTTTCGCGTGGAAGGCAGATGCTCTGTCCTCATCTTCACCGAAACTTTCAGGACTTTAGTTTTAATACTCGTAATTAAATTAGTATGATGTAGTTTGATTCAAATTTATTTTTTTTTAAATGTGGACACAATAAAAACAAAAATGCTATTATTTATCGAGTCTACACAAAAATTTTAATGTATATTTAATATCAATAACTAAAATATATATTGACAATTAGTTTAACAGAATTGTCACTTATTTAAAAAAAATTAAATAATAGGAGTTGGGTGACCAAAATATGAACTGTGATTTGTAGATTTAATTTTGTTAAAGTGTTCTCACTATCTAAAATGGATATGAAATATATTCGTAGTTGAACGCAATAACATACTTTTTCGTTTTGTAGTATGTGCATAGATTGGCTAATATCCATGCACAAATTACAAAACGAAAAAGTATGCTATTGCCTTCAATTGAACGAATATATTTCATATCCATTCTAGGTAGTGAGAACACTGCAAAAAAAAATAAATTCGCCAATCACCGTTCATATTTTGATCAACCGACTGCTATTATTTTTAAAATTTTAAATAAATGACAATTCTGTCAAACTAATTGTCAGTATATTTTTTAGTTATTGAGATTAAACATACAATAAAATAAGTTATTCTTTTGGAAAACGTTAGCATGGATGACTAAAGGGTATTGGGTTAATTAATTCTAAAAGTGTGGTACAAATGTTATTTTTTGTAGCCAATTCTTCAAAATTATTTTGAAATATCTTTTCAATATTGAATATTAGTTCTACAAATTCATCATTTGACAGTTGCAGATTTCCAAATGTATCTGGATTGGCGTTATCATATGCCTTTAAAAAGCAATAAAAAGAAAAATCATCTAATTCAAAGTGATCTTTGTTATATTTAAGACAGGTATCGCAGAGGAGTGTATCCGCAAGGCTTTTATTAAAAGGTAACCACACACATACCTGAT